TGTACGGAAAACCATGCATTTCTCTACGGTGTTAAGAGGAGACCATATGAGGTTCATAAAACTAAGCAGTGGATTTGAGCAATATTGTTAACTTTACAAGCCACATTCGTAAATGCAGATACATGACGTTTCATGAACGGCCATTTAACCGTATTAAAATGTTCACAATTAGAAACTTTTTTAAAACCGAAGTTTACTCTTCTTTTGAGTATGAAATTGGAAGAAGTCGTGATTTTCTACCGAACAAGTAAAAGAATGACTATTTTTATGCATGTTTTCCATGAAATATAATTGAGTTTTCAAGGGCATCGAAATCAGTGAGAAAATTGCATGCTACTCAAGCAGTCATTTTTTGCAGAGTATAGATCTTGCATGCAGCCGAAAATAAGTTCTTTCGATAGCCGACACCCTGAGGTAACTGGATCATTATAGATTTATGCTGCATCCTTATTAGTTTTAAAACATTACTTAAGTTATCTTTTCGAAACGAGAACGCATTTCAAAATTTTGGTTGACATTTCATGAGTTAGCACATCTACTGTATATAATCTCCGCAGCCCGCCAACTGCAGGGGAGTGCTAGGAAATTAGGACTATCATCGAAATCATCTTCGTGGATCTGCTAAAGGCCTTCAACAACATGAATCTCAACGGTCTCTGGGGAACCATGCCGAAATGTAGATACCCAGAGCACTTCGCACAAATTGTGGGTCGACTTCACGATTGAATTATGACTCGAATCACGTAAGTGGGGGAGTCTGGGAAACATGTGCAGTGAAGCAGGGTTGTTTACTCGCACCCGCCTTCTTCAGCCTCAAGTTTTCTGCTATGCTGATGGAAGACTGTCGCAAGAAGTGGAAACAACCGGTTCGACGGATAAATGTTCAGCGTCCTAAGCATCTTCATGAGCATCCTAGGCCAGGATCCACAACCTAGTGTTCGCGGATGACTGTGCACTTGAGACAAAACGAAAGCAGATGTGCAAAGAAGCATGGACGTGTTCGTCTGCGGCCGTGCCAACTTCGAACTGACCAGTAACATGGAGAAAACGGTGGTCACGCACAAACTTGGCTCCATATGTTGGCCCCGGAGAACCCCATGTCAACGTCAGTGGACCTCAACTCGCACCTGTGGACAAATTCGCGAACATCGGAAGCATAGTTTCACGGCATGGCAAGGACCGCCGCGGCATCCACCTCAACACAAAGCGGTTATCTTGACAACGTTGCTGTACATGGCGGAGGCGTGGACCACCTTCCAAGCCAACCAAACCAAAAAATTCAACCACTACCATTTCAGCTACTGCCGGAAGGATGATAGTTCGACCGCTCTGCCCGACGATTTTCACCATGTGCTCCACAGCAAGGTAAAGCAGGCAAGATGACTTGCAGGTGAATTTATAGCGAGAGTAGAGCTGTGTAGCATCTCGCCACCTCCTCCACCTGGAACCGACATAAAGACATAGTCAAGAAGACCGAAGGCTGGAGAGGGATCAGGTGGACCGGACCACATACCCTGGTCCACAACAAACACTTGACCAGAGTTTAAACCAACAGCCGGAGCACCATAACGGGCCAGAAAGACGATGAAGATGACGGAACAGCCATGCTCACGACCTGCATATCCAGCGGGACCGCAAGCGCACCTACCGACAGGTAACCAGGCGCCATAGAACTGCCAGCGCACACCAGGCAGTGAGATCCACGGTTTGCTGAAGAGACGCTCACAAACCTCAAGGCCCAGAAGGGTGACACAGTCGTGCACTGAGCCTGGACCAACACCTTTCAGAGGCTGGGTGACCAGTCAGTCATCGACTGAGTGGCACACACAGACTCTACACATGCATGAGAGTGCCAGAGGTCACTTTAAGAAGGAGCTCTGACAGCCTGGCTCTCAGCCCACCAGTCCACACAAACGCACACAGTCGGGCAGACTGCGCGGGCTGGGTTGAGGCATCAGTCGACAACTTTCGGAACCACGACGCATGACGCGCCGTGTTAGTGTCAGATTCGGATCATACATGCAGTGCAGGAGCTGCATGGAGGAGTAGTCGCGAGGCGCGCTCCCCACCTGCGTGGGTGGTGGTGATCGAGTGTCTGCGTTGTGTGTGATGATAGTGCATGTGCTGGTGGAGAAAGGTGTGATTGTGCGGTATAGCCCGGCGGCTGTATACCCCAGTCTTTCATGAATGCGCACGTGGCCTATGCGGTGTGGGGATGTGCGAGGGCAGGGAGGGTAGTGGAGGCGGATGAGGTGAGTGTAGGTTGGTGCTCCAGGGACTGGTTCGCCAGTCTCTCTGTGTAAGGGATTCGCGAACGACCGATCAGGTCGATGTGTGACGTGAATGCGGGATCGCAATGAGGACAGATATGAACCCATCCCACATCGATGAAGGTGAGGGTGCGGTGGTAATGGGACGTCGGACTCGGTCGTCGCCCATTGGTGGGGGGGGGGGTGCTTGATGTCGTGGTGGTGGTGGTGGTGGTGGCGGAGGAGGAGTTGATTGCTGTGGTTGATGCAGGGCGGATGCTGTCGGTGGTTGATGGCGGCAGGACAGAGACAGTGTGACAGGGATGGCAGTTGGCTCGGGGTCTGCTAAAGAAGTGACAGTGGGAAAAGTGGACGTTGTCGAGTTGTTGGGTCCGAAGGTGTCTTACGAGACCGATTCGCGGGCGGAATGTGTGTTGGCAACGTGGGCGTGTAGGAAGCGGCGGACGGTTAGCATTGAGGATTGGAGGCACTTGTGACTTGCTAGCCACCCTTTGGCGGAGGGGATCCGATTTGCCTCATTGATGGTTGCGCTGGTATTCACTTCTCTTCGCCACGCCGGCTTGTTCTGGGCGAGTTACTCCCAGGTACCCGGGATGATCTATAGTCGTTTAAGAGAGTCCTTCAAAGTGTCCTTTTAGCGCCTTTTTTGTCCTCCTAGTCTACAAGCACCCGTTGCGACATCAACATATAAGAGTTGTTTCGGTAGACATGTGTCTTCCATCCTCACGAGATGGCCGCTCCAACGTAGCTGCCGTTGCCCCAACATGGCGCGGATGCTGAGGATTCCGGTTCATTCTAGGACTTCTGTGCTGGGGATCCTGTCTTTCCATGTCAGTATTCTGCGAAGACAGATAAGCTGGAAGTGTTTGAGCTTCTTGGAATGTTTGGAGTAGACGGTCCCGGCCTGCGCTCCATAGAGAAGTGTCCTCAGAATGACGGCCTTATACATCCTAAGTTTGGTACTCAGTTGGAGGTTGTGACGGTTCCACACGGATTTCTGCAGCCGGCCAAAGGCTTAACTGGCTTCAGAGATCCGGTGGGCAACCTCATTGTCGATTCTCGGGCTGTTGGAAGGTGTGCTTCCGAGTTAAGCAAAATTGTCCACGGTTTTGAGTTTGCGGTCGTCGACAGTGATTCGAGGAGGAGTGCAGTGTTGCGTGTTGGGTGACGTTTGGTGCATGACCACTGTTTTGTTCGTGTTGATGGTCAGGCCAAAGCTGGTGCATTCGGCGGCGAGGAAGTCCATGCTCCGCTGCATGTGGTGTTGAGCATGCAATTGTTAGCGGGGAGCAGGTTGTGGGCGGTGGTCGCAGATAGTCGCGTTGGGGCCTGCATGTGCCTGGTGTTGAGAAGACGCCGGTCACTGTCGTAGGGGATGTGTATCCCGAGGCGCTCATCGCGGTAGGCGTCCAACATAATGGTAGAGAACATGGGACTGCTTCACTCCGTTGGCCACTGCGAATGCCTTGCAGATTGTGTCGTTCCACAGCCCTTTACGACTCACCGTATAGAATGCTTTCATCAAGTCCACGAAAGTAGCGTAGAGGTGAGTTCGTATTTCCTAGTACCTCTCTTGCAGTTGGCGGGCGGCGAAGATCATGCCGGTGATGCCCCGCTCCCGTCGGAATCTTCAATGACTTCCTGGCAGAAGTTCTTGGTCAAGGTGTCCGCCGAGGGGATTGGGGAGACTGTGAGCGAAGATCTTCCTGGCGATGTTGAGCAGTGAGATGCCTCCGAGTTGCCGGTTGCCCTTGAGCTTGTAGAGCTGAACAACTGCGGCGTCCTCGAAGCTCTGAGGAACTTGTTCACAGCGCCCCATCTCCTGAAATAGCGTCGTGAATTGGTCCATCAGGCAGTGGCCGCCGTGTTTGTAGATTTCGGCTGGAATCGCATCGGAGCCTGGTGCTGTCCAGCTAGCGGGTTATTGCACAGCACGGATAGTTTCTGGAGATCCAGGTCGGCGTTGGTTTTCACATGGGGAAGCTGGTCGATGGCGGCGTCGGAGATTGCGGAGGGACGGATGAGGATGTTTCTGAAGTGTTCGAACTAGCGCTTCAGAATCTGCGGCTCCTCCATTTGAAGCGTTAACCCATTGAAGCTGAGAAGGATGCGTTTTCTTTCATTAAGGGGCCGTGGATGGCCTTGGTCGCAGCGAAGAAATTCTTTGATTTGCTGTAGTCGGGATATCCCTGGATCTCCGCGGCCTTGCTAGTCGTCCAGAAGCCCAGCATTTCTCGCAACCGTTGCTGAGCAAGGCGGCAACATTGGTCGAGACAGGCTCTGCTCAACCTGTTCTCCTCGGCGAGTAGGCTGTTTATGACTACGTCGTTGTCGTCGAACCATTCCTAAGGCTGGCGGCGTGCGCGGCCAAGGAGAGCCAGGGTGGTCGAGTGAACAGCGTACTGCAGTCGACACCACCCAGTCTCCACGGGGGCGTTTTCGTCTGTCGCTGGCAGGTCTTCCAGCCGCTGGGTCAGTCGACCGGTGAAATGTACATGGTAAGCAGGCAAAGACAACAAAGCATACTTAGAGGTTGCTTATCCTGTGGCTTCCCGCGAGGTTGCAGACAAAACCTCGTCTTGGAGATGACGAGACAATGGTCCGTCCAGCCATCGGCGTCGCAGATCGCCTTAATCACCATCACGACCTGCCGATGTCGCCGCTGGACGAGAACATAGTCCAGCAGCTACTAGCGCCGCGATCGGGGGTGCTTCCAAGTGGCATTATCCCTCATCGGTGGGCGGAAGAATGTGTTGGCCAGCAGAAGGCGGTGTTCAGCGCAGGTTCGCAGGAGCGGGAGGCAATTGTCGATGCAGCCGGCGATTCCGTGAGGGTCCAGGCAGTATGGTCTGTGCCGACGTGGGCATTAAAACTATCAAGAACAATCAACTTATCCTCCTTCGACACAGTCGCCAGAAGGGCGTGCAGATCCTCGTAGAATTTTGTCTTCGCTTCGTCTGAGCCGGTCATTGTTGGGGCGTAGGGGATGATGATGATGGTGACGAAGATGGATCCCCGAAGAGGCAGGTGCAGGCTCGTCAGCCGATCGTTGATGCCCTGCGGCCGACAAGGCAGTTGTCCCATGATGCTGTTCCAGATGTAAAAGGCCACGCTCGAGTCACGTCGCTCTGCTTTGGGGCAGCCAATCCAGAAGAAGGCGTAACCGGAACTCACCTCCCCCAGTTGGCATTTTGTGAGACCTGGGTCTCGTTGGATGCAGCGATGTCAACCTTCTAGCACCACCACCACCACCACCACCACCACCACCACCACCAAATAACTGGGTAGCCCAGCCCGACTGGTCAGTACTGCTTGCATGTGGATGACTGACTCGAGGGCAAATTACCAAACCCAATGACTCCTTCCAAAAGTAGCCTCTATAGCACTCGCACGCCTGCGAGGTCCATGTATTCTCCTTTGCGAAAACGCCGTCAATTGTGCGCGGAGCAGGCCGCGCGCGGCAAGCGTAGCCGAAATGCTTGGCTATGTCAGTCACTGCGTCCGATCCCACCTCTGGCATTATTGACTCTGTCTTGAAACCGACCGACCTGCCGACCCCTTCCCGCACCTTTCGTCCTAACGCTCGTTCTGCTCACTCTACGTCGGCGCCTTCCACGGCCCTTCCCTGTGACTGCCTAAAGCATCGCACCCACCACCGGCTGTTTAGCAGGCATGCCGACTTAACCTTTTCATTCATACGGGTGACTCCTGGTTTAAATCATCCTCTCTTGCGCCCTTGACTACTACTACTACTACTACTACTACTACTACTACTACTACTACTACTACTACTACTACTACTACTACTACTACTACTACTACTACTACTACTACTACTACTACTACTACTACTACTACTACTACTACTACTACCACTGCATGTACAAGGTTTCCGTCTGTTTTTATCAAATATACTTGTACTCGCCATACTCCTCCTCTACCTTGCCATCTGGATGAGCGCTCTGACGAGTCTAACAATTCTATTCAACTCGTTCGAAGCCAGGAATCATCCCCAGTGCTTCCATCAATGTCTTCAGCCGCTAGAGAACTAATTCACACACAGGTCACCGTCCTGGACTCACACTAGTTTGGCACGCACACACACGGTGGACATTGCTACATGCAACTGTCGAACTGTCACTGTTTGGTTCGGTATCACAACTACTTGCCTCCCACTGAAACCGGTCGACAACAGACTTCTAAGCAAGGCGAAGTCAGTCCGCAGGCCGGAGCCTGACTTGAAGACTTCCACACATATTCAGACGTTTCGAGGTAGGGTGATGTTCCCGAAGACTCTGTTTTAGGACTGGGATTACAGATGACTGAATAATCTCATTTGGTGCAACTGATGGCCTCATGTGCAGCCATTAGTTGGGCACATGAACGAACTCAGTGAAAGCGCCCACTTCTGGAGTGCCTAAAGAAAGAAATTGGACTTCCGGCTCGCATCTATAGAGGTAACAGAGACAGAACTAAGGATAGTTGTAACACGAGGTAGCGCAATTTTGATGGCAGTTGGGAATGTTCGGATTCAAGGGCGGAGGGTGGGGGGGGGGGCTCACTAAAGTGGTTGTAGGACGGAAGATGTTCATATTACTGCCGTCAATGGCGGGCGTCATCAGCCAATCATTCCACATCTCAAGACCAGAAAGGCCCGGGTCTGCACTTGGGTCAGCTGCATATTCGAGTCCAACGTCCGATCAATTGAGCCATAGGACCACATCTTGCTGGCTACGATCGGAGATGTTAAAAGTCACGTGATGCGCCTCCAGGCTGCATGACGGCAGCTAAGGGGCAGGCATGTGGATACAGAGGCTGGGTAAAACGCTCCCATGTCTTCTTTTTGAGTTCTGAAACGGACTCTGCCTGCTCGCGTCTGTCGTTCCCAACTGACCAGTCTCCATAGTCTGGAGCGCGTTCGGGATCTCGGACAGTTCCGCAGACCAGAATGACCGTCAAGAGCTTCTGATGGGGGAAAGGAGGAGGAATGAAAGGTTTTGTAGGTGTTTTCTTTGCCAGACGAGATAGGAGCTTCTTCCGAGATGCAGAATTGTAAGCACAATGGTTTGGCCACAAGAAGACTCTAAAGAAATAAAGGCGGCGGCACACTGACGGCCAGTGGTAGAGAATGATTGCAGACAGAGAGGAGGGAGGCCACAATTGCCATGTTGGGCCTAGTTGAAGTCGTCGAACTGCCGTACTTCAGTCGCAAATCCCGAAGAACTGGGATTTGAATACAGCAATGCGTTTCGACTAGCGATCAGTAGTCACTATGCGACCGCCAGAGATGCATTTAGACGGCAGCTCCACAAACCAAACGAACGCCCGTCTTGCATTCTGTAACCGTCCAGACACTCTGCAAACGGGTTGCTGGGTGCGTTGGGGCGGATGGTCGCGGCTTTAAATGACAGTCTTTATTTTCCAAGAGGAACTTTAAATTAGCAGGCTGGGGTCACTGTCGGAAATGCAAAGACCTCCTCCTGAGTGCCATAAATATAGAAATCTTTCCAGACTTATTTACCGAAACTCCCCTTAACCTTCGGCTATTACTTCGATAGAACGCTTCCAAGTATCGCAACAGATAGCATCCAGTTGATAAAAAATCCCTTTTCTTAGGTGAGCACAAAAGACCACTTTTTAAATAAAAAAGACCGGTCGAGCGCTGGCACAGTCAGTTTATTGTTCTGAGCTTTGGAACTCCTGCAGGAGTCCAACGTCAGAGATAGTAGCAACAACAGAACAAGCGGCAATTATAGGTTGCGTTGGCCAATCACCGATCGATGACGCAGGACTGGAAATGGCATGTGGGTAGCTCCTAGCCAGCTACAGATAAAGAAGAGTATGGTGTAAAGAGAGGATTTGGAAGCAGATAGTTGACATCAGCTCAAAGTCGTCTATCCTCCAGATTGAAAAATTGGCGGATTTCAAAAGCTAAGCTTTGCTGCTGGAGAAGAAAAAAGTCCGCTACCTACACAAGGTGCCATTGTCGCTGAGGACACTAAGTAGACATTTCAGGGCTCAGTAATTAGACGTAAAATTGACATGGGGCAACGGTAGGGTGTAGGACCCCACTCGACTGCCAACTCCAACATGTACACTTAAAGTGCGTGCGACTGAAAAGAGCACTTTTTATTTGCTGTTCCTATTGGTTGAAATTTCGTGGGCTTCCTGACTGAATGTAAACTTGCCGGCTGCGGTCTATTCGAAGTCCGTTATTCTTGAAAATGGTTTTTTGCCTATCTTTTAAATCACCGCGTTCACTTTCTTTGCTATACGGCAGCATACAATAACACTCACAGCAGGAAATTGTTTATTTTCTGTCTTCCTGCATTCCGCCTGCTCTTCGTCCTGCGTGTCGCCCCACCTGCAAAACCCTCTCTACCACCAGTCGACGCACTACACGAGCCACAGGCTACCGCAAGTTATTCGGGGTCCTACACCCTACCGTTGCCTCACACGGTACTCTCGTTCTGTGAGTAAGTGGGGTCTACTGTCCGTACAACAACTGACTATGCTGCAGCGACCGGCTCATCGTGGGCAACATGACCCTCGGAGAAAATTAAAAAAGCCCGTTGGAGCGAACAGGGGACTACTTCCTTGCGCGTGACAGTCCAGTGCCTACCCCGCACCTACGCCCGATGCTGGAAGTGCGTGGCCACACCCAGGTTTGCGCAAGTCGACTGGGCACGCTATCCCCGCGCACTCGAGGACGCTATGGCGACGAAAAGACCTGCGAGGCCGGACGCGCTAAATCCCAGGGATTGGCCTGTTTTTATGGCCTTACTTGGACCCTAACCCACCTGAAATAAGAAGGGGAGGAGGAGGGAATGGCTTAGTGTTCTGATCTTCCAGGAGACTTCAGGAGTGCAAAGAGATCGGAGCAGATGGACAAACAGGGAGAACACGACATTCGCTCAATAGACTCAACGTTGCAGCGAAGATCTGGACTGATCTCCGTGACAGACGTCAGTCACAGGGTTTGTGCGAACCGATCGGCCCGGTTGGGAGCTTGACGCAACTGACCAGCGGCTTTTTAAGGCCTCGATCACATAGTGTGTGTCGCCTTTATCTTGCAAGACTGCACATGAACTGGTCTACAATAGTTCCTATTCTGGGCTTATGAGCTCACAAATAAGTCTAGCCTTTAAGAAAGGAAAAATAAAGACAAATAAGTCCTCCAATCGCAAACGAAAGACAGTGGTGTTTACGCCCGAAGGAGGGTACATGTTACGCGCTGAGATCGAGGTTCAGACTAATTTATAAAAACGAATAATAAACTCCCGGCCAGAAGCTTTGCGGGCTTCTATGGTCTCGCAGTTAGGAAACACGGTCAGCAACCCATCTCATGAAACGTTAACGGGCATTCTAAAATGGGTCTCCGACCACGACGGATTACTTAAATTGTGTTCTAGTAGTAATTATTATGCAGCATAAATCCAAGCTGTTTCAGACACGCCGGGATGTTGGCTTTTGAATGCACTTCTATTCGGTCGCCTGCGAAAACCTCACCCGGCAAAAAATGACTACTTAAGCAGCATACACTTTTTTTAAAATTGATTTTCGATGCCCTTATAAACTTAAACACACTTTCGGGAAAAAATGTCCAGAGATGCTGTTTCTTGTACTCATTCGACAGAAAACTACGTCGTCTCTAGAGTTTATACTCGAAAAAGGCGATTTTTCGTTTTTTAAAAAGTCTCCAACTGTGATATTTTTTGAGACAGTTCAATGTCCATTCAGATAGCATCGTACCTCCTCATGAAGTACACAAGAGTAAAGTAATATTTTGACTCACGTTTTCTACAAATTACAGTGCTTGACTGATCTCATGAAATGTTGGCCATAATTCTGAAATGCGTTTCTGATTAGGAAGGATTAATAAGGTGGAGTTGTAACACAATTTAACATGTAACATAATCCTATAGTATTTCGGACTCGCCACGATGTCAGCTTTTGAGTGCACTTCTTTCTGACCTGCAGAAACCGTACTTGGTAAAAAAATGGCTACTTAAGTAGCATACATTTTCACACTGATTTTCGATGGTCGTGCGAGTATATTGTATAGAAAACACGCACAAAATATGCTTTCTCTTACATCTTTGGTAGAAAACCACACTGTCTTTGCATTTTATACCAGAAAAAGTGTACATTTGGGTTTTGAAAAAGTTTACCAGCCTGATCAGCCGCTGCATCAGCGTTTAACGATTTCAGTCTACAAGCTGCATGCGTTACGCGTAAGGAAAAGCATGTATGCCTCTGTGCCTTGTAAAGGATACCGTATAGAGTTCATAGAGTTTCGCAATGAATACGGGCTGTGTTGCACACTTTACGAGGAAGATTGGTAAACGGACAGGTGCGATGCTGTGTATATGAACATCATACGGTCTTAAAAACGTCATAATTAGAAACTTTTTGAAAGCCGAAAGATAACCTTGCTAAGGGGACAAAATACAAAACAGTGTGGTTTCCTATCAAACAAGTAACAAAAGGCATATTTTATGCATGTTATCCACAAAATAT